CATACATATATATATGATGTAGATTTTAAATAACTATATTCTCATGTCAATGAGAGGGCCTGACACAATACATTCATTTAATAAATGAATAGAAACTCAAATAAAGACACCAATGTTGAGAGGACCCTCCAATTGGCCCAGCAGTTGCAGTGGGCTGGGGGACGTGTGTGGGTGCTGAGAAACTGGCGAGTGGTATGTAGGGCCTACAATAGTACAGCAGTAGTTTTACAGGGACTTAATTTTGGTTTTTGAGTGGGATGGGTGGGGACTGAATCATCAGCATGAAAAATGAGGGCGGGGTTTAGTGGGGAGAGTTTTTGGAAGAAGACGGGTGAGAAGTTGAAACCGATCTTCTTCTTATTTTTAGGCATTAAACAAGTCAGCCCATTTAACTCTAACTACCAGCCCAAATAAGGAAAAATAAAATCATTATCCAAGATCATAAGATCATAAAATGGATTTTTAACTAGGGGCGAGTCCTCTTTAGAATTCAGAATCCCTGTCTGAGAACACATCTATTCCTTTGACAAAATTTTCTCTTACAAGATTTCCTTTTTTCATATCCCCTGATCATTCTGAATATGTGCAGTTTGCAGTTAACAGCAACTTTTGTTATTAAAAAAAAAACAAACAAGAACCCTATACCACAATGCATTCATTCATATATTCACTCATCCATTCAAAACATTTAATGAGCAGTTACTAAGTGGTGGGCACTGTACTAGGTACTGGGAGTTCAGCAACAAACAAGAGACACAGGATGCTTGCCTTTTTATAAGTACACTTTGTATTTTAATTGCTTCTTTTACTAACAGCTTTCAGAATCTTATTCAAACCTAGAACATTCTGTCTAAAAGATTCCCATGAGATATCCTAATAATTTACCCAAGACCTAAATTCCAGTCTCCTGCTAGGGAAGTCGATTTACATTTCACTGGATAAATACAGATGTTTTGAATAAAAGCAGTGGACAGACATCTAAAGCTAAAAATTTCCTAAGGAGTCTGCTTTTAATTTCTTAGTGAGCACATGGATCTCAATGAGGGGACAGTTAGCCCTGTTGGCTCAGGATGAGGTTCTGAAAGTATATCTGGACCTGTTACTATGGTCTGAATGTGTCCCTCCCAAGTTCATGTTAAAATCCTAACCTCCACGGTGATGGGATTAGGAGGTAGGGCCTTTGGGTGGTGTTTAGGTCAGGAAGGCTCTACCTCGTGATTAAGATGAGTGCCTGCTATGCTTTGAATGTGCGCCTCTCAAAGTTCATATGTTGGAAACTTAATCTCCAATGTAACAGTGTTGTGGGGAACCTTTAAGGGGCGATTAGGTCATGAGGGCTCTGCCCTTGTGAATGGGTTAATGCTGTTATCGTGGGAGTGGGTTTCTGATAAACAGGATAAATTTGGCCCTTTCTCTCTGTCTTGAGTGCTTGCTTGCCCTTCTGCCACAGGACAATGTAGCACAAAGGCCCTAGTCAGATGCCAGTGCCATGATCTTGAACTTCTCAGCCTCCCTGTGAGCCAAATAAACGTCTATTCTTTATAAATTACCCATTCTATGGTATTCTGTTATACTAGCTGAAAATGGACTAAGACAGTGCCTTTATAAAAGAGACCGCAGAGAGCTGGCTAGCCCCTTCTGCCACGTGAACTTACAGTGAAGGGACAGCTGTCTATAGGAAGCGGTTCCTCCCCTGACCCCAAATCTGCAGAGCCTTGATCTTGGACTTCCCAGCCTCCTATACTGTAAGAGATAAATTTCTGTTGTTTATAAGCTATGCAGACTCTGCAAAAACCTCAACTTTGGACAATGGCCATTACAAACTTACAAAAAAAAAAAATACTTCTGGGAGGACATCTGCTCAGCAACTGCCTGTGCAACCTTGGACTGGTGCCACAGTGATAATCATCTCAAAACAATGAGGTAATTTTCCTTATTTTTCCTTTAAAAACCTTTGTCTTCCTTTACCTTCCTGAATATGCACATAGTTTACTCTGACATGCATATTTCCATCGCAATGTCCATTCCTGAATAAATGTCATTTTCTTTTAGAGAGTACCCTCCCTGTTTGTTATTTAAGTTGACAAAAGTTAGTAAAGGAGATTTCTGGAGTTCTCATTATTTATACCACTCAGTAGTTAAAAATCAGTTGCTCAAAATCCATCAGTTACATACACCATTCCAAGCAGAATCTTTACGTGCATTCTCCCTTTCTGTACCTTCCACTTCGGCCACTTTAGAAAGTTCAATTCACACAGACATAAAAAGGCACTTTTCCTTTTTTGGTTTTGCAGTTCACTTAACCAGATCACCCTTTCTCCTCTTCATTGCCTGATTAAATATCCTCTGTCAAAACCTAATTTAAATGCCACATCGATCAATTTTTTTTAATCCCTTGGCAAAGCATCAGCTATTTTTCCTCTGAAACCAATTGCATTTTGATTGCATTTTATACATTTTTCCCATGATTTATAGTCTGTCTCTCATTTTCGTGTCTGTATATATGTTTTATCTATAATACTAAAGTACAAACTCTTAGGTATGCTTTTTCCACAGGTGCTCAATAGTTGTCAGATACAATAAAATTGCGTCAATTCAAGTTTCTGCTAATGTCTTCTCAGAAATGCCTTCAGACCACCTTTTGCAAAATAGTGTTCCTGTCGTTCCCATTCCCTAGCACTGTTTTATTTTCTTTATAGCACGATACATGAGGCATATTATTAATAGATATTTGTTTATTGTTTGTTTCCTCCACCAGGATGTATGACCTATGAGAGCAGTGTGTTTGTTTTGTTTAATGTGTTATTCCAAAAGCCTAGAACTGTGCCTGGTCCACAGTAGGACGTGAATAAATCGATGTAATTGGAAGTAAAAGGAATACTACCCGGGGTATATCAGGACTTTGGGCTCAATAATTCCACTGTTCTGTCATTACTCAGCTGCAGGACATAGAGCAAGTCATTAACCCATTCTGGGCATCATTTTCCTATAACATCAATGATTGCTACATGGGATCTCTGAGGTCTTGCCCAATTCTATTAATGTAAGAGTAGAAAGTGAAAGAAGTAAAACAGAGTTCAAGTGGATACGGGAAGGAAAAAGAATGTTCTAGGCCGGATTAAAGTAGCTGCTGTTGGTGACAGGCAGAAAGAAAGTGTTAAAGCACTGAGGAGAGAGCTTCCTGAGGATAAGGATACCTGGCCCTGCAAAGGGCACCCTCGGAGAGGCGCTGCAGTGGGGACCCCCAGGCCATGAAGAGAGGCTGGTGGAGGGGAGGCTCTGAAACAAAAGGCAACCTGACACAAGAGACTAGGAGGCAGGGGCAAGCTCCACATGCTTGGCAATTTTGTCTCCCTTTCCAGACAACCGCTCTGCTGATTTTGGCATCAAATGTCACTGTTCAGTCCATGACTGGACTGAAGTGTTGTTCCAGTGTTTGGGTTCCAGGCTTGGAGGAATCACAAGCCTTGGCCTATGCAATGGAGAGCTAGAGGACAAAACACTCAGCAAGTATGCACGAAGAACTTTTTGTAAGGAAAGTTTAAGGGTGCAAAGCGAAAGTCCGTTTCCTAAGGGGAAACGGGTCTGTCTTTGCAAGTGGAGAAGACACTGCCTACTTCTGCGTTTTTGCTTTTATATGTTAGTAGTTTAGATAAAGGTTATAAGCATTCGTAACTATACATGACTGTTTTGGGGACCGAATTCCTTCCAGGTATGGACATGACTTAAAAGTTTTGTTTTAGTAACCATTTACAGTGTTCTTCCATCCCCTGGTGGTCAGTGTTCCATGGCCGAATTACCCCATTCTTTAAGACTGAAATAACCATTCCCTTTTTTTATTTTTCTGCAACCATTTTCTCCTTATTGTTTTTCTATAACTGCTTTCTTCTTTCTGTTTTTCTGATTTCCATTACCTCTCACTTGTTTTTCTGTCCCTAACAACTTTGTCAGGGCCAGATTAAGCATGTGGTTCACATGTGATAGCAAACCAGAAGTTCTATACAAAGAACTACATTTAATTTATTTTCTCATTCTCAAAGAAGCTAGGTCCTTATCTCTTCTCTTGAATCTCCACAGCACTTTGCACTTCTCATCCTAGAATATGTGTCTAGAACACAGTGCCTAATGCTGCTTTTGTCCTCTTGCCTTGCCTCTGCCCCATGCCTCTCCTCCCAAACCCCAGTAAGTCTGAGAAGGGCACTTTCTCCTTTTCCTTTTCCAGCACCATCCTCTTACAATACCTGCAGACACTCCCTCTTCCACATACTCATATTTTGTGTTGAACCAATATGGGGCATGGTTTAATTTTAAGTCATATCAAGTCCCAGCTTCTCGGGAGGCTATGGCAGGAGGATTACTTGAGCCCAGAAGTTTGAGGTTGCGGTGAGCTATGATGACGCCACTGCACTCTAGCTGGGGCGACAGGGTGAGACCCTGTCTCAAAAACAAAAAACCTCAACTGATTCGAGGCAAAGGCTTTGAAAGACCTCACATACACTGCTAGAGGGCTATAAATTTAAGAGAGGGCCATCTAGGAAGCAATCATTGACACTTCTTAAAAACAAACAAAAACAGACACAAAAACAATTTGGGAACTGACCCCCAAAGCTTCACGCTTTTTCTATACCACGGTCAAAGACGCTCTGTCCTTAGCTGCAATGACTTTCTCTTGCCTCCAAAAAGACGCCCACGCACTGACACAAAAATGTCCGAGCACCGAGCGAGGCCGCGGTTTCCGAGGCCACGGCAGGGAGAGAGGGCCAAGCGCCCCCAGGCCCCGAGTCCTGGACAGCTCCCACGCCCTTCGTGCCGCGCGAGGACGAGGCGGTCCCCGGGGCCCTCGGGGGAGCGGCGCCTCCTCCCGGTGCCAGCAGAGCTGCGGCCGCGCCCCAGCCGGGCCCGCTGCACCCGCGGGACATCCCGTGCGGCGACGAGACGCCGCGAAGGAGCCGCGCCCCACGCAGGCGCGCTGAGCCCGGGCAGGGGCGGGCTGGGCGCGGGGCTGAGGCCCCGGCGGGGGCGGGCCGGGCGGAGCGGGGCCGGGGCGGGGCCGCTGGCGTTTCCGTTGCTTGGAGCAGTCTGGGTGCAGCTGCCGAGCTCCTCCGCCCGCATCCCTGCCGTGCCCTGCGCTCCGCCGCTCTCCGGGAGGTTCAGGGCACTCGGGTCCCCACTGTCTGGGTGAGTGGCCGTCTGGTCCGGGGAGGGGGCTCCCGTCGGAGGGGGAGCGGGGTGGCCGGGTGCTGGGCCTCGGCCGAGCGCTGCCTCGGAGCTGCGGAGAGGACCGGTCGGCCCGGGTCGCTGGCGGGGCTCTCGGGACCGTCTGAGCGCCCAGGCTTCTCCCAGACCTGGGCTCGGGGCGGGGCCGGGGACAGCGAGCGGCCCGCTAAAGCTGCGGTCTTTCCTGTCTTGCAGCCCTGCATCCCTTTCTCCTGACCTGACGAGTCGCCATGGAACAGGTAAGGCCGTGCGCCCCGCGGCGCGCTCGGATTTACCCACAAGGTAAAGCCGCGACAGAGGAGTTCCAGCATTTGAAAGCAAAAAAGTTTAGGAGAACACTGAATCTGCTCTGGGAAATCTCTTACACCTTTCTAGTTGCCCCTTTCCTGTGGTCCCTTTTCTTCCCGCGGAGTGTCCCCCGGAACCTGCCCCGACGCGGCCAAGCTCCGGTGGCGCGCAGCAGCCGGTGACGTGGCCGATTGCAGCGCACTCCCTTTTCATGAATAGTGAGTAAAAGTGGGCCTTTCCCAAAATCCAAAGAGTCGCTAAAATTAGACCAGAGTAGGAACAGCTCATCGTGGTCATGTGAGGCGAACGCATGTTTTTTTTTCCTTAGCTTCCTTTTTTTTCCCCCGCAAAGTTTCCTGTGTTTTAATACTGTGGTTCAGCATTGGTTTTTTCCAGTTGCTCAGCCCAATTTTACTGAAAGGAACTGTTGGTCATAGGGCACCGATTCTTTTTCATGCAACAGATTAAACAGAAGAGCTGTTTTTCTTAAGCAATGAACTCGTGGTACGAATTCTGAATTGAATTTGCCTTGGGACTGTTTCAGAAGCCGATTATCTAATATGGGCATTTTTGCTGTTATTAATATTTCTCAAAAATGTAGGAAAGAGAAAATTGGTGAATATATATAGCAGTATTTAAAAATTGACCATGTTATGTTAATAGAATCTTTTGTGCATATCAATGCTTAAAAACTCCACCCCAAAACTGATTTCACAGATCTTGTCAATTTAATTGGCTTGTCAAAGTCCAGATAGTTTTTTTTTTTTAAAGTGTTTTAACTGCTCAAACAATACTGTCTCTTATTTGTAGTTCACTTTTTATCAAATTGACTTATCAAACTTGAATAAAGTTTCAAGGTCCTTTCCAAGTGAAAATGGGAGGATTAATATGAGTTGGCAGCTTTATTAAATTTATACAGTGCTCCCATTCTTACTTCCTCTTTTGTTCTTAAATGTAACGATAAACCAAGTCTTATATTACTTCAAGTGGAAAGTTTAGGTTCTTCTCCGTGGAAAGGATACTACTACGTGGAATTAACTTCCTTTATCTGAGGAATGTTTTTCCTATCTTGATATGCTAGTGTGGTGATGGCCATGGGGATGTAGCAAGCATCAAAGAATAATTCCCTTTATCCTTGCTCATTTGGCTATTTCTTGAATCTCTTTTGCAAGTTTCTCGGTGAAGTCTGAGTTTTTCTGTCAATTCCTTTTCATTATGTAGACTCTTTACTCAAACATAGTATAAATGAACCGTTTTCCAGTTGTGGACATTAATTTTAATAATTTCAAAGAATGCTAATAGCATGAAGGCCATTCTATATATAAAACCTAGGAGAATGGTGGCTTGCTTTATACAATTATGTATGTGATCTCTATCACAATACAACACCAGGACTGTTTTCTATCAAAACCACAGTCTTTAATCATCATAAAAGTTATAAGTGATGTTAAAAAAAGATACAGAGTGTTGAATTTCACTCTAGCTTTGTAATTAGTTATCTTTGGAAACCATGGAAATAAAACATTTTGTTAAAATATTTACTATTAAAGCCAGGCATGGTGCGTCACTTGTGTAGCCCCAGCTACTCGGGAGGCTCAGATGGGAGGATCCCTCAAGCACCAGAGTTCAAGGTCTGACTGGGCAACATAGCAAAACTCTGTCTCTAAAAAAACAACAACAAAAAAATAAAAGTACATTGGCTTGTATTCTTCGGTTTGGAAAAATCAAGAGTTGGCTGTATTTCATAGATGAGTGATCCACTTAATACATTTTAATTCAATTTAAGACTTTTATGTCATTTTTAAGATAATCAGACTTTAAAAATTAGATTTTCTGCAATTTGAACTTAATTTTATTTAAATGCTGTTTATAAAGAGTTAATATATTTTGGGCAGTAGGAATCTCATGAAGGCAAAACTAAGCTACATAATTGTTCACTAGAATCTTCATGAACATCAGCGTTATCTCTGTGGTATATATTTAAATTGTATAAGGTTTGATCACAAATTTGGGGGTTGGTTTGAAATTATTATGCTGTAATAGTTTACAAAGATCCTGCACAGCAAGTAGGATCAATGTAAAGAAATAAATTTGAGATGAGGCTCATTCTAGAGGCGCTAACTAGATTTTGGTTGTGTGTTTTCATGCCATTCCCTTTTAAAGTCAAATCTCTCTGTAGCTAATAATTGGCTCTTGGGATCTTAGATTAGGGTTACCTGTTTACCCATAGCCTGTACTGCTCTAGGTTAGTCTCTTTCAGTTCCTGATCCCTTTGACTCTTGTCTTCATTTTGGATATTGAAAAAGAACTAGATCCAAAATTGCTTGGCTGCTTTGCAAGCCACTGAGCAATTCATTGGCATTCAGCAAACCCTAACTCCCTTATCTAGTATCCAGTGCCCCTTGGAAGACCTATGTAGGTGATCAAGCTAGTTAGAGGTGGGCAGTCAGTGTTTTTCTTTTTTAATGACTTAGAAGTTCAAAATAGTAGGAATATGACAATATTTTTACATCATAGATTGATTTCTGAAATAAAATTTATTCATATAACCTTTATACTATTTTAAAATTTCACAAATGCATCACTTTTTTTTTAGAAAAAAACTAGTGCTCCTAAGACCTTTGCTTTCAGTATTTTTTAGACCCAGTCTTTGAGTTTAGTAGTTTCTATAATACATAAACATATAAACAATTGATTATTGGGAAAGAATGTTTATTCTTCCTGTTAGCTTCATTTCTTTGGAAACTAGTTGTTAACTGTTATGTTTATTTTCCATTTGTGCATGCATTCATGAATGTATGAAGGTTTTGCATTCCCACTATGTGCCAGGTATTGTTAGACATGAGAAGTGCAATAAGAAATGGAAGTAAGATTTATTGATATCAAAGATGCATCATAGATGCATTGCAAAGTCCTTTGTCTGCCTTATTTATTAATAGTCCTCATAATACAGTTTTGGAAATAAATACTACTATTTCTCTTTCACAGAAGAGGAAATTGAGGTTACCTAGCTGGCATTAGTTGTATAGGACAAAGGAAGGAAGCCATTACACATAGAGGCAACAACAGCAAATGTAAATACTTAGGGGTGTAAAAGAGTTTGGCATGACCAGGAAATGCAGGTAGTATGGTATTCCTGGAGTGAAGCTGCAGTAAGGTGGGGAAATAGAGCCTTGTCTTTGATAGGGATGCCAGATGAGTAGACAGGAGCCAGAGCTAAAGCTTATCAACCATTTTATAGATAATGAGGAGCTATCAAAGAGTTGCAAGTCAGGGTGGGTCATGGTGAGATTTGTATTTAACAAAGATCTCCCTGGTGCCAATTTGATGGTTGTCTAAGAATATATAATGATTCTCTTGGTGAGGCACTAGTGGTGGGGGATAGAGGGAATTGAGGATAAACTGAGGATGGGCGAAGGGAACAGGACCTGCTTAGAGTGGGCATCAGCCTGGGTGGAGTGCAGGGACTCCAGGGAACAGGGGAAGCCCTCTGCTATGAGTCACGTAAAGTCCCATTTGCAGACAGTTTTGTGTGGAGAGATAGGATAATGGGGTGGGGGTTGAGAGCGGGGAGAGGGAAGCTGGATATTAGAAGACCACTTAGGAATCTGTTGCAATAATCTCAGTGAGACCTCAAGTGCTTAAACTAGGTAGCGGCTGGGACTTTCAGTAGGCAGGGCCTATGAAAAAGAGTGGGCAAATCTGATGCATAGGTGGGGTGGATGGTGGTTGCTAATAAAGGGTCAGGTGAAGGTCAAGATGACTGACTTGCTTGACCGTGGTTGATTGTGTTTTTCTTTGAGAAAAGAATGCAGGTTTGAGGTGGGAAAGAGACAGTAGTGGGTTTGTTGAATTTGAGCTCCTTATAAAACATTTAGGTGGCATTATTTAGTAACGAGTAGGGTATGATCTCTGAATGCTCTTTTATCTCTATAGGTTCATCTGTTTATATATTATTTATTTCTTCCTATAACTAAAAAGGATTTGAAGCTAACTTATTTCCTACCTTTGCCTAGGATCAGCCATATTCATTAGATTTGTGCCCCTTGTTTAGATACAAAAGGAAATAAGGTTGTGAATCTGTTTACACTTTTCTAGTATGAGAAATCTATAAACCTGATTTATTTCTAAAGCACTGGTGTGAATAAATTGGTTAGCGATATCGCTTTTCAAGTGTTATTCACAGATGGCCGATTGAACAGTTAGGTAAAATAGCATATTCTCCCCTGCGCTCTAATATGAACTCATGGGAGGCTAATGCCACTTGGCCACTGTAACTCAGGGCATCACTGTTATTCTTGCACAACTTCTAAGAGCACACAATTTAACTTCCAATTTTATTGGTATTTGCTAAGGAAAGACATTCTCATACTGGCAGGGAGGCTTCTGGCTGCATCGATTTCTGGCTCTGAGTTAGATTGTGTGGAATGTTGGGTGGCTGTTTGATTAAATATTGATTACATAGAACTGGAAGACAAACTTCCATTCCTTCAGGAAAGTTTTATTTAAAATATTCCAGGCAAGTGAATGTTTTCTCATCTTTAAACTTGAAATTGTTGTTATGTATTATTTTCCTGTGTCTGAGTTTTAATGTCTAGAAAAGCAACCCTTCAGTTGTTTCTTGGTTAATTGTGTTCATTTTATTTCGACCTAGTCTTTGAGGGTAAAGAACTTTTCATTTAGAGAAAAGAAAAAAGCCAACAAAATTATAGAGCTAAAGAATGAATACTTTTGATGGTGAGAGTTAAAAGAGTGAATTATATGTTTTGGTCAAGTATTGTCTAAGAATATATAATGATTCTCTTGGTAAGGCACTAGTGGTGGGGGATAGAGGGAATTGAGGATAAACTGAGGATGGGCGAAGGGAACAGGACCTGCTTAGAGTGGGCATCAGCCTGGGTGGAGTGCAGGGACTCCAGGGAACAGGGGAAGCCCTCTGCTATGAGTCACG